TTAGAAGAGAGTCCTGTCCAAGTTTCGGGTACCTAAGACTGAGTTCTGCGTACTCCTGGAGTACTTTAAAACGAGCCCGAGGAACTCGGGGTCTTAGAAGTGAGCACGAGGAACCTCTCGAATAGTTAGAAGTGAGTGTAAGGTACCTCTGGAGTACTTACAAGTGAGTGTGAGGTATCCCTGAAGCACTTAGAAGTGACTGTGAGGTATCCCTGGAGCACTTAGAAGTGACTGTGAGATACTTCCGGATCACTGAGCAGTCAGATTTAGGTACTTATCGAGTACTTAACAGTGAATCCTGGTACATATATATCATGAGACACTAGAATTGATCATAGCATATATATTTTACAAGATTTCAGCATCGATCCTAGTATATATATATTGCGTGATTCTACGGATGATCTTGATTAAAACAACAGAAACTTTTTTCACTCCTGATAAAATATTTGTGACATCTTCGATAAACCCAAATGAGTTCTTGTGCAATCTAGAAACACGCTAGAAAAGCGAGAGAAATCTTCATAAGGTCTTCAGATACCTTCATGAAATCTTGAGAAATCTATAGAAATCTAGTGAACTCTTTAGGAAATCCATAGAATTCTAGTGAAATCTTTAGGAAATCTTAAGAAATCTAGTGAAATCTTTAGGGAATCCATAGAAATCTCGTAAAATCTTGAGAAATCTAGAGAAATCTACACTGTAAAAAATTCGTAGACTAATAAACCGTAGTACTTTAGGAAAGTCTTCCTAAACCCTTAAAGTGTTTTTATGCAAAAGGGTATTTAAAAATAAAAAGGGGTTATGGCTAGCAAAAAATGGTTTATTTTTCCACTGTTTCATGAAAGCGGTTTATTATTCTACGGTGAAGAGTTTACTATTCTACCCTTTCATGAAAAGGGTTTTTATTCTATGATCAAGGATTTATTGTTCTACCTTTTTGTGAAAAGATATTTCATTATACTTTCGATTATCGATTTATGGAAGGTTCCACAAATAACAGTTAAACATTGCTTATTCGAATAGGTGTAATTAAAAAACGACTTTGTAAAAGACGAGAGCTGCACATTTAAACTTATAAAAATAAACTCTTTTTCTTTTACCTAGATCAATTTTGACACCAAAATGGACTGTAGGCACGATCATTGAAACACTTTATAATTTTTAGTTAAACTAATTTCTACAACAAGATGAATTGTAAGCATTATTTGCATTAATATTTTTTCTTTTTCTAATCGGGTTCGCCTTGAAAACGAGATAAAACGTGGTTTTTATATATACAACAACAAGTATAATCCAGTTAAGCATTATTTTTATAAACTCGTCTTTCTTAGCTAAGTTAATTTCTACAAAGAAATAAAATGTAAATAAAATTTATACATAAGTATATACTTATATTGATCTCGTTCAAAATGACGTTCAATATAAAATCTAATTATTATTTATCTAAATCTATTTTTTTTCCATTTAGATCAATCGGAACAACGAAGTCAACAGTAAATATTATTTACTTAGATATATTGTTCTTTCTGTTTTATTTAGTTTAATATGAAATTGAAAATAAAACATAAATATTATTTACATTAATAACTATGTTTTTCTGTTTAAATCCATTACAACGAAAAATCAAAAGTAATTATTATTTTCTTATACCTGTTTCTTTTTTCATTTAGGTTAGTATGGAGTTTAAATTAAAATGAAAGTATTATTTATGTAAATCTTTTCTTTTCTATTTAGATCAGTTGCAACAACGAATCAAAACTAACTATTATTTACATATGCATATATTTTAATTTTATTTAGTTCAATCTGAAATTCGAAACAAATGTAGGTATTATATTAAAAAAGTCTTCCTTTTTATTTAAACGAACCACAACAACCGAAGCAAAGGTAAGCTTTATTTTTCTATATATGTTTTTTTTTATTTACTTTAGTATGGAGTTCAAAATAAAATGTAACTATTATTTAAATGAATTATAATCTTTTTCTATCTAGGTGCATTAGAACAAGAAAGTTCAAAGTAAGTATCTATTTCTATGTATATGTTTGTTTTTCTTTATTTAGTACAACACGAAAGTTCAAAACAATATGTAAGCTTTATTCATATAACCTTATTTTTTTTAATTTAGGCCCATCGTGACACACGCAATCAAAAGTAATACTGGCGATTAATTTTGTGGGACATCGATTCAATCTGTCAATCTTCTCCATCTTATACCAACAACGAGTTTTACGAAACGCCTGGGTTGGCTTATGAGTGTTTCCTAAGTCCTCTCAAAGGATATTTAAAAGGGTTAAGGTAAATTTTCCATACGGTGAAAAAGGGTTTATTAAACCTCACATTTCCATCAACCCTTTTCAGGTTCATTCTTCTACGTTTTTCTAGAGTGTAATGAAGTATTTAGAAAATGTCGAGAAATCTCGTGAAATCATTGCGAAGTCTAGATAAATATTTAGGAAATCCATAGAAACCTTTATGAAATGTAAAGAAATCTTTAGGAAAATTCGAGAAATCTTTAGGAAATCTAGAGAAATTTTCAGGAGGTCTAGTGAAATCTTTACAGAATCCATAGAAATCTTCACGAAATCTACAGAAATCTTGGGAACATCTAACAAAATCTTAGGAAATCGACAGCAATCTTCACGAAATCTAGAGAAATCTTCGGGAAACTCAGTGAAATCTGTAGGAAATGTTGAGAAAATCTAACGAAATCTTTATAGAAGCCATAGAAATCTTTATGAAATCCTAATGAAATCTAATGAAATCTACTGAAATCTTGAGGAAATCTAGTGAAATCTTTACGAAATCCATAGAAATCTTTTTGAAATCTAGTGAAACCTTTATGAAATCTAGGGAAATCTTTATGAAATCTAGGGAAATCCAAGGAAATCTTTATGAAATCCTAATGAAATCTAATGAAATCTAGTGAAATCTTGACGAAATCAAGTGAATTCTTTATGAAATCTAATGAAATCCTTAGGAAATCCAGAGAAATCTTGATTAATCTAGAATGAAACCCTTGTAGACTCTAGTTTAAATCCACATGAAATCAAATCGCATTGAATGAAAATCCGGCGAAAACTGACTGTGTCGGATCGGCTATTGAATGATTCTGTGTTTTCCTGTAAACGGATTAAGGCGTTTAGGGCAGCAGCTAACGAGCAAATGCGACAGGAACCGATCGGATCTTTTTCCGGCGTAATCCGCGTCGGAATCCTGTAACAAAGATTCCGGTGCAACTCGGCTGGTTCCGATCGGTTTTTGTTGGGAATCCGACCATTTCCGGAGGAATCCGATGTCGGATCCGATAGTTTCCCGTGGTATCTACGGGTCGGATTGAACGACCTGGGTAGGCTGACAAAATATTCCTACCGTTGTGTACAGACAGTTGTAATTCTGTTACCCATTGTTGAGATCCTCTGGGTAACGCTTCTAAATCAGAGGTCTTTCCCGTAGAGTTCTACCAGTATGATCTTCAGAAAATATTGAACGGAATACATTTTCCTACATATTTTGCAATCATTTTCTAGCTCTTGAAAACCTGTCTTTATCTCGAAAATATATCGCTTTTTGCGTGGACGAACGTCATTATCGAAAACAGCACACTGAACTATCGTGGTTTAAAATCTGTCCTCGAAAGGGTTACTAGGCTATCTAATACAATTTACTATATGATGTTTATGAAAATCGCTCATACGTATCGAGAGGGATTTCTCAATGAAGAAAGAAGCATAATATACAAGGTGGAACTATTTTCTGAAGAGATTGTCATTTAGGACCGATTTGTGTACAAACTGTTCTCTGTCCTGCATAAAATACAATTATATTTGCATAATTTTTGACTAACATGAAAACAACTTTTGAAATCGATAATTTTGATGATTGATTAAATAAAATAAAGAAACTTATTCTCTTGACTTATATGAAGATTCAAGTTCTTTAATATTTTAAAACAGCTAACAAAATTTTTTTAATTTTCCATCACAATTTTGAAATATTCAAGAATTTAAAATCTTTTTTACAATTGTCTTATTCAAATATCTGTAAAATTTACGATAATTCAATATTAACAAAAAAAAGCCATTGATGGATATTTAATAATGGTCGTGACAACTTTATGAAACCAATTTTGATTAATATTGAACAAATTTTTATTCTACATTCTAATGGAATTCGTATAAAAAGAACACTGTTTAGTGCGTCTCTCGAATATGAGTATTAAACGACGCTTTCGAGAAATATTCATATAGGTTTAATAATTTTATTTATATTACTCTCCTAAAAAATGGTGTTATTTTTTTTTTGTTTTCGTTATCATTTACATACAAACACCATTGATTCGATGTCTTTATGGAACCATCTTAGCATAATTCGATACTTTCGTTGAAACTAAATAAAAACCTAATAGTATCACCTAACTGTTGCAGTTTATGCTCATTGAAAAATGAGAGATTTTTTCATTATTTCATCGATCAGGAAACTACAAGTGTGTCTTTAAAAGCCTTACAAGAATTCGTTATCATGATCTATTGGAGTCCGGTTACAACCTTTTGTACTGACGTTTTGATCATTTTCCAAGAATATATTGAGTAATCAAATAACAGAGCTCCGATTTGAAAGCTCATCCTTCAATTGGTCTAATACATCTTAGAAAATTGTGAAAATTACAGTCAGATAGTGTATTCCTATATAGAAGCATAGAATTTTCAAGTAAACTCAATTTTGTGACATGTTTATACCTAACGTTTATGTTTTGAAAATTC